ATTAGAAGATGTATGAGGGTATCTGGGTCTTGGGGTCTGAATTAAGTGGTCTTGAGCAGCAGTACTTTCAGAGTTTCTCATTAACAACTGCCAGTTTTCAGAGCCTAGCCTTGCTTTCATTTAGTAGACTGTCACTTCTTCCTGGAGCTCTGAATTCTTGAAGTAATAACCAGCCCTCTTCCTCCTCCTTCTCCTTCTCCTTTTTTAAAAATTGCTGATGGGGCTGACTGTGTAATTTGAACAACCAGACATGTACATTGGTTAGATGAAAACAAAAGGATGGACTGCTAGATGAGGGATGGAAGGCAAAATGAGGTGAGGGAAGAGAATTAAACCATCTTCTGAGCAGTCTGGGCCAGGCAGACTCTTCTGCAAATTCTGAGCTGGTTTAGGCTCTGCTGCTAGATCTCAGGCTGAACCAAGCAGTGACCGTCTCTCTCTCTCTAATCAGAGGTGAACTTGTCCAGTACCTTCATGCACAGCTATTTTCAGAGACACATGAATTCATTTACAATTTTATTGAAATACATCTGTGTGTAAAAGACATATTAAAATAATGGTGTTGCCAAAAGACAAAAGGCCCACTTTACCAACACAGAGGATGTAGAGTGATTTTTTTTCTGAAGTCTGGCCACTGACTGATGTCTACATGCATAGGAAAATTATTAGCACAGCAAGCTGCTAGAAGAAAATAAGAAGTGGCCTTCACCAAGGCCGCAGAATGTGGGAGCGACAGCCTGCTAAATGCTCCTCCAGCTCTGAGACAGGGATTAATTCACTCAGACCAACTGTGTTTTAGATCTCAAGTCTACACAAGTTAAAAACTGCTCAAGACCTAAAGGGAGTTCTCTAACTTTTTTCCTTCAAGAAAGTTTCATATTTTATAGTGACTTTTTTACATTAGCAGATTATAAACATCTGGGTTGAGCTAATAAATTTAGTTTTCTCCTGAACACTTAAATTCTGATAAAATCTAACAAAGAAAAAAGAAAAAGAGAGATGGATCTTTTACATGGACATTTTCTTCAGGACACCAATAATAAAAGCACACGCTGATGTGCAGGGCTTTAACATACATACTCTAATTGCAGCTACTATGATCTACCTGTGACTTACAAAAAAGAAAAATTCAGTTCCAGGTTGATACTGTGTGACTTGGAAGGTCTGTGGCAGGGTGACCTCTCCTGGTAGTATGGTGTTTTTGGAAACAACAAGCCTTATTTATTAAAATAACAGAGGAAAAAAGGAGATAAAATACAACCAGATTACCCGCTATTTTAGATCGTCTTTCCCAATATTCCCTTTTATTAGAAGAGATAAAGGGAATTAGCTTTGGTAGAGTCTCCTTGAACAAGTCTGCTTTTGTAAAGTTACTACTATAAGAATTCTTGACATTTTTTTTAAAGGATATGGAACCAGAGACAACTATCTGAAATGAAATTCCCGGTCTCAGCAACACTCCAAGTTAAGAAGTATTTCCTAGTACCTACTTGGTGCACGTTTTGTCTTTCAGCTTTGTTTGTTTTTTGCAATAGCATTTAAGAGAAAGACAACTGACCATTTGCTGCCTACACAATGGCTTTAGCATGGGATTAAGAAGTATACCTGGCCTCACTCAGAGAGCGTATTTGTTTAACCTGGTGACTTTCCTGCGTCTGTGGTCTGGCAGCACTCAGCCTGGCTGAGGGGGACCAAGACGAAGCTGATGTGTCAGGTACTCCTTGCAGTGACAGCTGCGCTAGCAGTTTTCCAATGGTGAGGCTATCATTTCAGTGGCCCACTGTCATCTGGGGTGAAATCCCAGGAACCGATACCAAGCAAAGCCCAGGACTGGGCATCTCTCAGCTCACTGGACGTGACGAGCCCGCTGCAATGCTGTTTTCCTCCTTTGGCATAAAGTACATCGGAAGGAAAACTATCATTAAAAGGACAGCCAAAGAGAGAAAGAATATTAGAAGATTTTCCCCCAGAACCAGGTCCGGGTTTATTTTACTCTCCCATCTCTGGTATTATGGAAAGTTTCAATCATATAGAAAAGCACACAGAGACGCGAACACCCACAAGGCTGCCTCCGTTTCTGTAATCAGCAGCACGTGGTCCCTCTTCACTGCACCCCATCCATTCCCTCTTGGAATTTTTTTGAGCACAGTTCCCAGACAAGTGATATTTTATTTTATATAAGCTTTCATTTACAATACATGTGTATATTTTTCTAAAGACTGCTCCAGAAATCTCATTGAGCATGAGATATTTGACCCAACTTCAACCACATCTTGTAAAGCATTTTACACTCAAACCTATCTGCCTAGAAAACTAATTTGCTTGACTGTAATTGGGTAATTAAGATGACAGTGTAACTTGAAACACAGCCTTCTAGTAGTTTATTTATGGTGGGGGAAGCATGTTTGAGAAGACAGTGCAGTGTCTTCCTGAGGCTCCAGCCTTTGTGGACATTTCAATCAACAACGAAGGAAAAAGTACCTTGGTTAAGATTTGCCTGCCTGGAACTGAGAAAAATGGGAGGTGTGTAGTCAGGGCCTGGAGCTGCCTACAACAGAATTTCCCCTTTTCTTTCTCTACAACATACAGAATAAAAGATAATGCCAACAGACCAAGCTTAAGGTCTCAAAATTGCTCATGGAGCAGGCTAGCTACTTACAGTAATTTACTACCATCTTAAAGCTGAGAGCAGAAGGAACTGCCTCTAGCATTTATATTTGACTCTTCATTGCCTGATGACTAATTTGTAGGGGAATGAAGTCCTCACAAGGTGAAGCCCAAAACCATCTGACGGACTTTGATACAGCGCCACCAAGGACATGAAGGGGAAGCCTGGAGGGGAGGAGCTGCAGATGGCTAGGTTACGCTGAGAGTCCTAGTCAAGGAAGAATGGAATTCCTTGACTATGAATTAAAAAATGTCAGGAGCAGGTAAAATTCTGGCAAGTCAGGTGAACCTCTGATTTGCCAATGCTTGTTAAAAACTTGTGGTTAAATGCCAACTTTAACTTTCATTGCTCTTATGCTAATGAAACAGCTTCATGTTTGAAAACTATAGCATCCCCTGTGGTCTCATCTCAGCTCCAGGCTGTCCATGACTGCCAGGCACCTTCCCTCCAGCTGCACTCCTATTCGCTGCTGGCTCCAGTCTCATCAAACCAGCTCCCCTCTTGTGGGAAAGATGGCTCAGCAGTTAAGAGCACTGGCTGCTCTTGCAGAGGGTCTGAGTTCGACTCCCAGCACCAACATGACAGCTAACAACCATCTATAACTCCAGTTCCAGGGGAGCCAATACCCTCTTCTGACCTCCAAGGGCACTGCATGACACAGGTGCACCTGCATACATATAGACAATATACTCATACACAAAATAAAAAATAAGAGAATAAAAGAAAAACATTACTTTTAAATAGTAGCATTTTCAGTGTCCCCTCTCTCCATGAAGCACAAACACTTCTTCAAGAAATTTTTGTTGCTTAAGTCAGCTAGTCACTTGTCATACACTAGAAACTAAATTCTTTTCACTTCTAAGTTCCTCCTGACTGCAGACATCTCTGCATTCTCCACTGAGGAAAAGAGCTGTGGCATCCATTATCAGTTGACAAAATCCCACCACACGGCTGCCTGCAAACTTACAGAGATAGACTTAAGTTTATATTAGCACTGCGGCTGTGCAATTTCTTTGTTTGCTTCTGAAATCACCTCAAATCAAGAGATTTACTGGATCCTTACATGACATAGAAGCTTCATACAAGTCTCTGAAAACTTTTTCCCCATGAAGACGTGGGCCATTAAGAGTTCCCCTAAAAGCTGGATGTGGTGGTCCACACCTTCAATCCCAGTACTCAGGGAGGCATAGGCAAGCAGATCTCTGTGAGATCTGGGTCAGCTTGGTCTACATAGTGACTTCTAGTCAACTGTGGCTATAGCGAGACCCCATCTAAAAAAGACACACACACACACACACACACACACACACACACACAGAGTTCTTCTAAAAATGGTTCTCAATGCATGGATTCTGTACTTTTTAAAGGGGTCCTTATCTTTTACAAATATGTGGTAAAATGCTTATAAGTAAAAATATGCCTAGGAGTTCTTCAAATGCACAGGGTGGAGAGTGTGGGCAGTTCAACAGGAGCGACCGTCTTTACAGAGCAGCAGAAGGGTGAGTGGAGCCCTGACACCTTGGTCTTATGCACAACAGCCTCGGAACTGACATTTCAGAGGAATGTTGTATGCTGCTGCTGCTGCTGCTGCTTACAATTATTTACTTAGCACAATAAGGAATAGAACGATGGAGAGCCCAGAGCTGATAGTCAACCGGTCACCAATTTGAAAGCCTGGTTTGATTTACTCACTCATTCCAGTACTTGGAAAGGAAAAAAAAAAAAGAATCAACTAAAAAAAATTATCACCTCCACTGTAAGAGAACATCAAAACCTGTATTTTCACAATTTGACATTCACCAACAATATGTAACCAGATTTTGTTTTGTTAGGGGCAGTGTGGGAGACTGGGCCCAGGGCCTCACACATGCTAGGTATATACTCTTCCACTGAGCTGTGGCTGCAGCTCTCTGTAACAAGACTTCAACATGAATAAAATGGGAGCATTTCAGTTCACAAATACTGTGTTTAATTTATAGAACTTGAACATTTTAAATTGAAATATAAATGAAAAGCCAGGCATGGTGGCAAATGCCTTTAATCCCAACACTCGGGAGGCAGAGGGAAGGTGCATCTCTGTGAGATCAAGGCCAGCCTGGGTCACATGGTGAACTCCAGGCCAGCTGGAGGAACAGGGAGACCCTGTCTCAAAAAGATCAAAAAAAGAAATATAAATGTACTGGTAACTGTAATTCAAAACCACCATGTATTGGTGAAAACTGAGAGGAGAAGGGACCACAGATAAGCACTAGTCCTAGGTGGTTTCTTAATCAGAACAGTAGTTATCACCAGCACTCTAACACACAATGCACTAATCACACACTTCTCCTACCTTGTGATCATACGGAGTGTAAGAGTGAAACACCCGGGAAAGATCTTTTGTCCTTTGCTTTTTCTGTGGAAGAAAAAAACACAAACATTTGAATCAATAGCTAGCCAAAAATACATTATATATATATATA